CCAGATTGTTGGGGGCAATATGCTGACTCTCTGTAAACCGCTTAGAGAGGGCTGAAAGCCCTATGAAGCGGTATATAAGTCTACTGCTATTCCAAGGGCTGCAATGCGGAGCCTGAGATTTAGCCATCAACCTGCTGCAAAAGAAATGTTGCTGCCTCGGTCAGGCGCCAATTAGGCGAGGGTCCCTCTTTTTTTTAACCTTCTTCCAGTATGATCCAGCGGGATTCCTCCCGATCGTCCCCATGCACGAAGGATCCCAGGACCCTTCCCTGTTAGACCCCCCCCCTCCAGCCGCGGGGTGGCCTCGATCTGGGATCCCCCCCCCCAATGGGTTGAAGTCCACCCACGGGGCCCCCCTCCACTCCCACCCGGCCGTACCTGCAGCACCTGCTGGCAGAAGCTGCGCACGGAGCGGAGCGAAGCCAGGTCGAGCTCGTGCACCACCAGCTCCCCGCGGCACTCGCCCCCGCCGCGCGAGCAGAGGCCGACTTCGGCGCGGAGCTCGCGCGCGGCCTCCTCCGCGCGGCCGCAGTCCCGGCAGGCCATGATGACCCTCGCGCCTTGCCGTAGCAGCTCGGCCGCCGTGGCCCTCCCCAAGCCGCTGTTGGCCCCGGTGATGATGGCCGTCTTGCCTTCCATCGGGCCGCCGGCCGGCATCTTAGCCAGCGCGGCTTTCCTGGCTACGGAAGACAAGCAGCGGACGATGAAGAGCAAACCACCCCCCACAGCGGCGGCCAGGAGGATCCCAACCGCGGCCATCGCCTGGAGGCCCCAGGCTGGACGGGATTGGCCGCGGACTGGGCCGACCGAGGGATCATTCAAGAGTTACGGCCCAATGACATCGCGCGGCGGGCTGGGCGGGTGGGGGGGAGGAGAGGGAGCGAGGAACTTCCGGGAGTTCGGTAGGGTTGGCCCGTTGGTCTCGCTTGGCATTCTGGGAAACGTAGTCGGGATTCGATTTTTACCTGCCGCCCGATCTGCTCCGTCCTGATTGCCTTTTTTTTTCTTTTTTGACGTTCTCTTTGTCATTATTATCACGATAATAATAAATAAAACAATAAACATAAATAATAATAAAACAATATCATGCATAGTCGCATACCGCCCCTGTGCTACTGTTCCCATTTATACGTACCCATTTCATTCATGGTCATGTTTATTCTTACACCTATTGTAAACGACTGACAAATCAAATAAAGAAATAAATTGCTGTGCAAATAAATGAGCTTCAATGATTGTCATCTCGCTTTAAAACAAGTCGCGCAGGTGCAAAAAGAAACCGGGTTTATTTGTTAAAGACTTACATCAACAAAGCTGGAAAATAATTTGCTTAGCTAATTTGCTTTCTTCAGGGTCTATAGTTACTTATAATTTATAATATAGTCCTTATAATTTGGTATTGGTTGACGTTCAAACTTCCTTCTGACCTGTTTAAATCTAATTTCCACTTGCTTAACATTTTTCCTCTGTACCATGTGTAGAAGATAACACTTTATCTATTTGATGAACTGGATTCTGTTCTACAGTTTATGGTGTAATAAAATTAGTGTTTAAAATTGCCATCAGATTCTTCTTTTCTGTTTGCAGCATAAACAGAAAGATGAAATTATTCATATCTAGTTTCCTGTTTTGATTTAGGATCTCCAGTATACTTACTTAAAGGAGAACAAATTCCAGATGTCTGCATTCAACTGTTACAGGGTGAGGAAGGTCAGCTTAAGTAGATGTACTTTTACTACTTGGGATATGTTTTACTTAATAAATGTTAGAAATTCAACCAATGATGTTTATGCTTGTGTATGTAATACAAAACACTTATCTGTAATCACACATCCCATGAAGGCTCATTTAAATAACTAGTTGGGTAGAGATAGTACTATTACTGAGTGATACCCATGGCTTTGAAAAGTATGACATCATGAAAATTTCTGTCATTTGAATGATGACATCATGAAACAAATGACATCATTTAATCAGGTCTGATGTCATACAAGTTACTAATTGCTGCAGATGATGTAATTTGTGTCACAGAGATGTGAAGAGCATCATTTAGATTACTTTCTAATGAAGTTGTCATTACGTGGGTCAGGATAGGAGCTGATACAGTTACACACAGGGACAGCACTTCAACAAATGAGGGAGTTCTTTCTAAACACTGCCAAACAAAGCCTTTAATCACACATTTCCACTGTCCGGTATCTGAAAGTCCTTAAATATGGCACGATCTCTTCTGGTCTTTTCATGCATGCATAACACACACTATATTTTCTCCCTGGCCTGCTTCCTGCCTGCCAGAATCTCTGGATTTGTAATCTCCACATCATTCCATGTTTACCAAGTGATGTCCTTTCTAGCAACATGTCGTGCAATATCTGCAATTAAAAAAAATCCCTTCTCTGCATTCTTGCCTCTTTTTATATCCTACCTATGACATACATGTGCCAGTCTACAAGTACCTTCCAACATTTCCCTATACCTGCCTATGTTCTTGCGGTTTTGTGCTATCTGTCTATTAAAACCCATGACGTGGGCACAGACTCAACCCCTTTCCTTTAACCGGGCGCTTCAATCTGCTGCAGATGCCATTGTTCGAATGTGGTAGGTTGCAGCAGAAATCTGATGTGCTGCATGCCATATTTGTTGTGCTGATATCTGGTAAGATTTCACTGTAATACCTTTGGATAACAACTTTTAACAACACCTCAGGATTGTTATAAGTCCAGTTTTATCTATTTGGGGAAAAAATAGTAGTAAAATCATTTAGATGAGATGACCATCTAGAAATGTGATAATAAATATAAGTGTATTGTGAACTTTGCAGACTCCTTGCCAACCTCACTTTTAATTTATAATATCAATGGTAGATTCTATGGGTGGGATGTCAGAAGCCGTGACCCGTCAAAACCGCACTCGACTAAGCCGCACCCGATTAAACCGCGTCGCTGACGTCATCAACAGGGGGACAACAGCCAGCGCGGAGAAAGAAGGGCGCTTTAAATAGC